AATATAAAACTTTAAAACTATTCGAAAAAAATACTCTAAAATATTACATAAAGTTATAAAAAAATTTCAAAAAGTTTAATTATATATGATGTTTACTCATCTATAATTCATAATTGATAGTGGATTATTTCAAAACAGAATGTTGCTAAGCTTTTAATCACATCAATTTACAAACAAAACATTTTTTCAAGAAGCCATAAAAATTTGCCATAGTTTCAAAACAACTTATAACATGTAACCATATCTAAAAAACAATAATAATCAATTGTTTCCTCTCAATAATAATCTTCCCTATGTAAAAATTATAAAATTAATAAAGTTTTCAAAACTTTCAAAAATATCATATTGAAAATGGAATTTCAGTAAAGCAGCACCATGTTAATTTTGTTAATAAAACTTTTTCAAGTAAAAATAATTAAATATTGTAAAAAGAGAGAAATTTTATTCAAAAGAAATTATTTACTGATTTACATTTTAATGCTTAAACATTAAATATTTTAAAATAAAAATTTAATATACAGTATATTAAAATTTTTCCATTTTAAACTTTCATGATTGACATATAAAAGAATAAATATACTAAACCAATTTTCTCCAAAACAAAAATTAATAATTATAGCCTTCATATATAGATTAACCTTGATATTATATAACATCTTTCAAGGAAAATAAAAATAACATTGATCTAACTTACTTAATATATAATTTTCTAATTAATAAATTATTCAATTATTTTAATATTTAAAGTATTCATAAGTAAGACAAGTAATAAGAATATTACCTATTCAAATTAAATAATTTTTTATATTTAAAACATAAAAAATAAAAATGCTCTATTTCTCAGTTCCTTTAAATATACTTTGTAAACAAATATATATCACAACAAACTTTCATGATATGTTAAACAGATTTCAAGATATACAAAATACTAAACTTGTTTTTCCATACTAAATATTTTATACATTAGAAACATTTGGCATAAAAAATAAAAAATAAATTAACATTACACCTGAGTCATGATATATAATGAATTTCTGATAAAAAGGCACTAAAACCTGATGGATTTAAATTAATATTTCATTAGATCTTTCAAATATAACTAAAAAGTTATTTTTTCAAAAATCTGATTACAGAAAAACTACCAAAACTTCTTTACAAAAAAAGGTGATAAAATGCAAGAAATGTAAAATAAGTACTACTAAATTTTGGAAGATAATCTTGTGATTTCATGCTGGAATTATTTAATCTGAGTGATAATTATTAGGAAAAAATATGCTTAAAGAAATATAATATCATTAACATGAAATCTTTATTTGTTGACAGTATCAACATGCAAGACAAAGAAGAAATTAAATTTATGTACTTATGAAATATTAATAAAAAAAGTTTTGTAAATATGAATCAAATTCCTGTTTTAATTCTCAGATTTCATTTAATCTTTGATCAAATAAAAAACATTTAAACATTACTATTTGCAAAATATCAATAAAAAGTGACAATAGTTGGCTTTATTATTATAATGTATCAGGTTTTCATAGAGTAGTTTGTTTATATCAACAAAAATTTCTAAATAATAGGAAATATTACTTTTCATTACATATTTTTATTTTTTCGGATAATTGTTCTTCAAAACAAAAATTTCAATCTACATTGTTTGTTTAAATTCAATCAAGGAATCATCTTCCAAAAGTTTTTAATATAGTTTTTAACCACTTGGTTAATAGTGGTGTTTGTGAAACATGATTTTGATATATCCTTGAATCAACTCTACCTTAAATTTTTATTTAATAAGTTTAATTACATGATTATGGAACTATATTATAGTATATATTATAGTATAGTATATATCTTTAATTTATATTATATAATCATTTTAATTTCATAATACAATTTTATACAATTTATTACCTTTTAACAATTATTAAAAGAGTAACTATATATCAATTATCAGTATTTAAAAAAACTAATTTAAACATCAGAGTTTTTACCTTATTCATTTATTTAAAAATGAATATTTTGCTTTTATATTTATAAACTTCTCTTCATAAGAGGCTAATGCATACATCTTGTAAAAGTAAAATCTTAGAAAACTGAATTCTTAAAAAAAAACTAGAGAAAATAATAAGATAAAATAAGCAATAAATATCTTTAAATGAATGATAAAAATGTAGAAGATATGCAGTTTTAAATAATAAAAACAACAAAATGAATATGTGTAGAATTTAATTTACAAATCAGATTGTGTAGGAAAAACTTTAAAATAGAACAAAGAACATTTAAAGAATAAATCTTAATAAAGTAAGTTTATTTATTAATTTATTTATTAGCAAAGATTCTAAATTATATTTATAATAGACTGAAAGTAAACGTGATAATATTTGTATCAAACTTTGTATGTTTTGCATACTGAATTAATATTGTTTCAATATTCAAAGTTTCTCCAAATAAAATAAAAAATCTATTTTTATTTTATTTGGAGAAACTTTGAATATTGAATTTTGAATGAAATTTGAACTCATATCATTCAGTAGTTTACTAAATGCTATTACTAAATGCAAGAAACCAAATAAACTGGATAAATAACAATTTCAAAACAATTAAAAAAAAGACTTTCTGGATTACAAAGGTTTTTTTTTGTTTTGAACTGGTTGAATGATTCCTAAGTACTGCTACTAAATCATTATTACTTCTTTGAATAGACAAATGTACTAAAATTTGCATTTTAAACATTATTTGTTTATTAACAGAATTAATCATCCATTACTATATAAACATAAATATAATACTCACATCAACAAACAATCCATTATTTAATAAGTCAACTCTTTCTAAATTGAGTTGGCTTCTTAAACAATGATTTATTTGTTGACATCTGTGATATGGGGTCATTATTTCCTATTTAGGAGATAAATGAAAATAATTCTGATAATATATTTATTATAAGAATTACTTTAATAATTACATTCAAAATAATGTTGTAAAACTGATGCTCAGAAAGTATAAAATTTTAATATTCTAAAATATTAAAACTGAAAATTACACAAAAAAATACAAGTGCATTCATATATTAAAAAAATCTTAAGAATACAAAAAGGTTATCAACTAGATAACTTTTTATGTGTAATTACAATTTTTCTTCTTCCAATAATTTATGTATTTCTTTATCATATAATCATAGTATTTTGTCATTATTCTTAATCATGTAATCATAACAATACATCATTTACAAAATTAAAATGAATATTTATATATAAACAATCTAATTGCATTTCCCAAGAATATTTTACTATTAATTATACATTAATTAAATTTATTCATTGACAAATCTAAAATTAGTCAAATTGTATTATTGAATAGAACAATTGTGCTATTGTTCATATTGTATAATAATGTGAATAAATACTTATACTATTTAACAAATATTGTTTTTATTAATATTAGTTTATTCATAATGTTAACTGTTATATTGTTATAATGTGATAAAACTTTGAAAATTTATTCTACTGAACTAATTATTTTAATATTAATGACTGTATGAAACATGTCATTAATATCAAAATAATTTTCATGTTTTAATATTGTAGTTATTCTATTTTACTTTAAAATATTTCTCAACAAAGTTTGATTCTATTTGAAGGATCATAAATCTTTGTGTAATAATAAAAAAGAACACTATTATATTCATCTAGTAGATAAATTTCTTATATAAATTAAGTTGAAAATGCTAGTTTATACAATCATCATCAAATTCAAATATAATATGAAAAATAGAATTATAAAATTCAAATTGTATACTGTATATTTTTAAACTATAATTCTTTAAAACATTTATTTTAATGGGAAAGTAAACAAAACAAAACGCCAATCCATTGGGTCATAAATACTTTGAGTTTCCCAGTTTTTTCTCTTGGCAATGAATCAGAAGTCGCAAAAGTATTCATGATCTGATGGATAAGAATTTTTGTTGATTTCTCCATTAAAGTATTTTTTTTAAGGAATTAAAACTTTATGATTCTATTACTTCATTGTTATGTTTGAACTTGATGATGGCCTATAAACTAGGTTGAAAACATTAGTTTATACAGTAGACCCTCCCTATAACAGGGTAGATAATTCTGTGTTATATGAATTACATGTTGTATGAGTCACATACTGTAAACAGCTCAAGTATTTGTAAAATCTAAGTGACTCGTACAACATGTAATTCATATAACATGGAATTATCTACAGTGTTATAGGGGAGTCTACTGTATAAGAAATTAATCAATCTTCTTCATTCCCATAAAAGTAGACATCTCTAAGTAATTTCAATCTACATTGTTTGTTTAAATTCAATCAAGGAATCATCTTCCAAAAGTTTTTAATATAGTTTTTAACCACTTGGTTAATAGTGGTGTTTGTGAANTGTAATTCATATAACATGGAATTATCTACAGTGTTATAGGGGAGTCTACTGTATAAGAAATTAATCAATCTTCTTCATTCCCATAAAAGTAGACATCTCTAAGTAATTATATTATGTAAATATGTTGTATATTTATAATATACTTTGTATAATACAGTACATAACATAATTTTAAAACAATAAAGAAGCAAAACATAATTTTTGTAAAAAGATAATAGTAATAATAGTAAAAACTTTCATTATAAAGTTCATATTATAACAAATAATTTAAAGAATAAATTAGTTTAGATATTTAAAATTATCATAATCATCAAAGATAATTTTATTTATTTCTATCAAAAACTAAAATTAAAAATAAATAAATTCTCTTATATACAATTTATTAAAATAAAATTAGAAAAATCCATTTGTTCTTTAGTAATTTTATTTAATGATCAATTTAAAATATGTGTCTAACCAATTTATCTTTACAGATAAGTTTTTTATTTTAAAGAATTTTGACTGATAATTTTAAACAATAAGTATATTTTGATTTATTTCTATTAAGATTGTTTTTATAATAATTAAATTTTGTTTAAAATAATTTGACACATACTTATTTTCCAGAGAACACCAGCCACAATATGGATCTTGCGCACCTAAGCAATCTCCACAACTCTTGTAAACTTGGCACTCTTGAACTTTGATCATTGTTACCTATAAATATTTATAAAATTTATTTGAAATTAGATTAATAAATCTTCATTTTAATTATAAATATTAATCAAATTTTCTGCTTTTAAAAGTGTTGGAATGAAAATATATTCTATTCATTTAATATTATCACATTTAATATTTTCTATGCATGAGATTAAAGATTAGCATATAATGAATTTGAGAATTTAATTCAACCGTAACATGTTTCTAAAATTTGATTAATGGATATACAAAATTACTAATTTAATTTAATCTGCTTATTGCATAATATAAAGTTTTTAATAAATATAATGAAAATCCATTAATTCACCAAATTTAACATATTTTCTAACTTTCAACTTAATTTTTTTAATAAAAATAGAAATTATATCATGCTTTAAAATGCTTTCTTACAGTATAGATATTTATTTCATTACTATTTGTTTAATTTAGACTGCTAGGCAAATATTTCTCAATATAGACCAATATTTGGTTATATTACAATAGATTTGTATATGATATGTAGATACTTTATAAAAGCAGACAGCATGCTGCAATATTAACTAAATTAAAATATTTTAGTTTTAAGTGATATTAACTATTAATTGAATTGCTAAAATCAAATAATTCCAGAAGAGATTTATTTAGTTAATTAATGTTTTTCAGTTTTAAAATCAACCATTTTTTTTTACACAAAATATTCTTTAAATTCTCAATAAATATATAAAATATTCTTTAATTGAATTAATTTAAAGTTAATTATTGTTAATTATCTTTTTAAACTGATATTTAGAAGAATGTTCTCTAATTCTAATGATATAATAGCTAACTATATGTTGATTATATAGCTGATAGAGCATGAAAGAAGTGAGATGGAGCCTGATCATTCACAAACATGGCCTTATTTCTCCAAAAATAATATTAAAAATACATGAATAAAATTAATAAAACAAATAAATACAAATTTTTCACTTCTTATCAGAAGAAAATTTATACAACTTTGGTATTGTGTTTTTCAATTTTGCTCATCTAGAACTGAAAGTATTTATTTATTTACATAACTTAATTTGTATATTAATAATTAAAATTTCACTTGAAACTCATAAGTTTAAGTATAATATATATATATTATAAGTAACTAATCATTTTAGAAGCAATCTGTAAATAAAAATTATTTTCTTTTAAAAAATTTCTTTAATATTTGCAATAAAATTTATTAAGCTATTTTTTTTAATTTTGTCATTATTTTAAAGTTCTATACTTGGTTTCATTTCTAAAAGAAGAACAAAAACTCTATAAATTTAATAATAAATTATTTTATATATCTGGAAGATACATTTATGATGATGTAAAATATAATAACTAGAGCTTTTATTTTAAGTAGAAAAATTTGATTTATAAATTATATTAAATCTTTCCAAGATGAAAATGTATTCTTTTAAGCAAGATCAAGCATATAAATCATAAAAATACAATTATAAAAAGGGACTGAATAAAAAAATGTTACATTGTATAACAACATTTTCTAGAAAATAAAAAAGAAACATATATATTATATTCTATTTGTAGAATTCTTTTGAAGCTATTTAATAAAATATATATGTAATCATTTATTTGAAGTTTATCATATTATTTAACATGAATAATTTCTAAAAGAATAAATTTCATAATAGATGTGATCTGATATTGTTATTCAATAAATCAGAATTGTAAAAGTTTGCTGATATGAATGTAAAAATATGTTTGCAAATTCTAAATAATGTAATACAATAGCTCTTTCATTTAATATGTATTCCAGTCGTGCTTAAATACATTATTATACAATAGAATTTGTGGTAACGTCCCAGCGATCATACACAGAAGAGTCTACAAAGATCTTTAAAAAAACAGGAAGAAATAAAATAGTTTTAAAATTTTGTTTGAGATCCATCAGAATTCCATTATATAGGTATATATTTACTGCTTATTTTAGATAATAATGCAAATATGCTATTTACATTATTATACTAATATAATTTTACCATCATTCAATTCAATATAATTTATTTATAATATTCAAAATTCAATTACTTCACTACTACAATGTTTTCTTATTAATAATAATTTTTCTTTCTATTGAAAATTGCAATTCTTTTCATTAAATAAACTAATTTAAATTGTAATTTATATTTTTATGTAAATTGTTAATGTCAAATTTTTATTAATTTTATTTTTAAGAGTTTTAATAAAATGAAATATTAGAACTTCAGAGATTTAAAATGCATTTAAAAGTATGAAATTTTTAACCAGAACTTTGAAAAATATACTTTTTATCTATAATTATGAATATTGACTATTCCGTTTCTGTATAAGAGACAGAAATCTCTTGCATATCAAGCAAGATAAAGCAAATGCACATCAAATAATGTCATTCTGTCTTCTCATTTGGAAGTTAAATCCAATTGAGCCACTTACAACAGGCAATTACAGTATATACTAAAAGCATAGTTCCAACAAATCTCCAATTTCCCAAATCCCTTAACTTTAACAACAGCAAGGAAGCTTCAAAGTTCAATAGTTGAAACATAAGCTGGACATCCCTGCCCCGGCACAAGGTGAACAATCCAAGGTTGAATCACCTGCTTGGGGAGAAATGCAGGGGATGAAGAGGAAGAGAAGAGGGGAAGTGTTTCCATGGTAACAGTCCAGTAACAGATGGCTAGTGTCACATGCCGAAATATTGGAACTATGTCTATGGAGTAACGAGAGTGAGCTTTCCATTTTCATAACTGCATGCAGTGGTTTCAATTTGGAGTCTGTCGGCCGGAAAATGAGAGACGACGCAACCATAAAGAAAAACCGGGTACAGCTCATTGAAGGTGCATGCTCCCGACTTCAATAAGTCGTTTGGTTTCAACCACAAGATGGTTGTTTGGTCAGTAGAGCGTAGTTAAACCGCCCCCCATTTTCTGTCATGTCCAATACTGTTAGCTGCAGAATGGAGATCTGAAGGGAAAAGAGGTTTATAATCTTTAAGTTTGTCTGCACCTGATCATCAGGAGATCTGCTCATTTATCATTTTGACTACAGTATCAGAAGTAAATATGAAAAAAAAAACAAAAAAAATTTTAATCTCTTGATAATCTTTTTTTATATTAAATTATATCTTTTATTGACAAATAACCCTATAAAATAAGTCTAATTATAGTAAAAATAATAATAATTTACTATGAAAGTCTATCTAAACAGTCATAAAAACTATTTTAACTAAATAAACTGTTGTTTATTTTTATATCAGGTATTAGGTATAAATAAAAATTATTTAAAAGCATTAGATTCATTGTTCGTTTATATTTTCAAAGGCAAATATTGCTGGCATCTCAGTATAGTGTAGAGGTGTATGAACTTTCCTGGAAAGCTGCCATAAATATTGCTATAACTTTATTCAATAAAATTACTAAAATTTATATTTAAAATCTCTTAATAAAAATTAATTCAGAGCTTACTATAAAAAGATTTTTATTCCTTTTCTTAATATTTCTAAAATAAAAATCTACGGGAAAGTTTCTCGACCTTTTCTCATGGGGAGACGGTAGTGTCATAAAAAAAACCTGCGATTAGATAGATCGCGACCTACTGGTTGAATTATCTCCAATCTATACGACTAAAAATAATCAATTAAAATCGTAACATTCTGTTAAAACTCGGAAATACTTATCATAACAGATACACGATATATTTATAAACTCTGTTTAAAGAGAAATTTATAACTCTATTCGCAAAAATACATCCATTCTAACACCCTTTTCTTCAAAGAGCATGAAAAGAAGAGAAAAACAAAAACAAAAAAAGCACTCGAAACGGTATTTACTACAAAATAAGACACGAGAAAGATGTATTCGGTGGCAATCTGAGTGAAACATGCTATCCTGTCATTAGCGCTCCTCCATTTCCATGTGAGTAAAAATTCCGCGAAAATGCCACACTTAAAGCACGTGATTGGTACTGTACATAGGCTTTAGAACGTGTATAAGATCCAACAATTTTATTAATGCTTTCGTGAAACATCAATGATTTACATCGGTTAAAAACAATGCATTAAAGCATTTTTATAATTTCGGTCTTGAAGATTTTTTTTATTTTATATTTAAAATACGAAAAAGAGAGAGAGAGCAAAGTATATTTTCTCATCCCATGCCAGAGAATCTCAATTGATTGCAGTAGTTTATATATATATATATATATAGGTAGATGCGGTGTGCATGTCTTATCCAATCTAGTTGAAGTGCGCGACGAACCACTGGGGCCAGTCGATAATACACATTAAATTCTTTTGCCCGTTTTTATCTCAAGCTGTTGGATCACTCGACCTAAGATCAGAGTAATTTCGATTACAATCTCCTAAATGGGAGTGTCTCCTAAATGCCGATTCATACATGAACTTCCTTTTTTTTTCCTTCCTCCTCCTTCTTCTTCTTATTTCCAAATTCCAATTGATGGCGTTTCTTAGCCGCATATATTTCGAGGAAAAAAAGAAAATGCAAATTCGAAAGTATAGACAGAAAAGTAGAAATTAAAAAAAATGATATCGTGAGATTAGGAGTTAAAAATAGTATTCTTATGATTAAAAAGAGATAAAACCATTTCCTTCTTTCGCAATATAATAGATTAAAGGTATAAGCAATTCTTTATAAAATTTCGATTAGATTAAGCATTTATAAAACTATAAAAATAACTTAAAAATTAATTAATTTTAAAGCTTAAAATAAATTAGATTTATCCTTAATTCTAGAAAAAGTAATAAAATTTATTTCTCTTCTTTTTTATATTTTAATTTTAATATTAAATTCCGANGTATTAAATTATTTTTCGATAAATACGTAATAGGTCGATTATATATTTTTACCATTATTTTAATCACATTTCCTGCCTGTTAGCAATCAAAAATGGAATAAAAAAAAAAAGTCGTACGAAACTACTTTATCGATTCATAATGATCCCAAAGTACTGTAATCTCCAAATTCACGAATTTCGTGACCATA